AAGGCACTGGTGTTGCTTGGGTAAAAGCTTCCAGATGAATTCCATGAACTGGATCCTCAATAATCAGACATCCAATGTCAAACCATCTGCAATGACATGCAAGGTACTTTACCTTTACTGAGTATCACTCAATTGAAAAACATGTTAGCAGTTAAATTATGACCATTTTACAAACTCTACAAATGTAAAAAATAATGTAATAGTGTTATCTCAAAGTGTTCCAGTATTTTTCAATTAAAATTTGCATATACATATTTATGTATATGAATTGATATATTTTATATATATATAAAAAATTGTAGTGCATGCGTATGCATGTAAAATGCATACTATACATAAAACTATATAAAATACATGAAACATCAAAGAAACAAAGAAAGCTGGTGGGGTGGGCATGAGTGCAGATAAGATCTTTTGCCTGTATTTATTATGCTACAGTTTTCATTCAATCTTTGAAAGAATGTTTCTCATTAAGATAACCTTCCCTAACAATAAAAAAAATAAACCTATTTATCATTCATGTTCTATATTCAGATTTTCTGGTAGATCTAATATTGTAACAATGATTTAAATGGTTTATTCAGAGAAACACTTCTGAACCTTTCAGAAAAGATGGTGCCTGCTGTAGCAGACACAGTAAAGGCTACTGAAGCAGTACCCAAAATGGTTCCCTATCTAGCTTTCAAGAACATTAAATCATTTCTCCCTATCAACAAACTAACATGATCCAACACTGACATGATCGAAATCAAACCAAGGGCTACCTCACTGTATTCAATTCCTGTAACAGTTTTACAGTTGAGTTGCCACAAGAGAAACATATTCCAGGGAAAGCACAAACACAAAATCAAGGCCAAGGATCAGAAAAGATTTTAAAAGAAAAATAATTAACTAACAGTAGTTAGTTGCTTCATACATATTATATATGTGTCTACATATAAATTGTATTCTATTCTTTAAAGCATGGGAAGCAAGGATGTTGCTATAAAAAGAAATGTACAACTCCAATTTTAAGCTTCATGTTAAGAGTTCAGTGGTGCAAGACAGGAAGAAGTACTTCACTTGCATCATCTTTGTAGCATGTGAACATCATCACCAAAATCAAGTCTACCAAAGCAACACTGAAGGCTGTGACTCTCACCTTCCTTCTGCTCAAGTGATACTGCCAGCAACTCCTTATAGGCCCCTATGAGTCCACAAGAATGTTCCTTCCCCTCGCCCCCCAAATATATTTAAAGTTCTCACTTATCAGGAAGCAATTCCTCAATGAAGTTTTCTACTGATACAGCAGGCTGTTTTTCATGTATTACTCCTGTCCGACGCAAGCTGTCTATTCTTTCTTGGGCTCCCTAAATGGTAACATAAACTGTTAGACAACATTCTCTTTGAATCAAAACATAGTACAATGCTTACAGATGAATGCAAAAAGAAATCTAGAACATACTTTTCAAGTTAAACAGAAAATATGAGAGATTTTGAAAATTGACTCTTATTTCAACACTAGAAAAACAAAACCCAAAACTCATGAAAAGCATTATAGCTTTTCCCAAATAAGAATTCCAACCAGTAACAAAAACTACAGAAAAACTAATTAAATATTTTAGTGTGTTATTTTTCCATGAAAATGACCTAGATTAGCATGCAAAGAATTCCTAACCCGAACTGTGCCAAGTTTCACTATTAGTTAAAGCACTAGTATATATTTCCGTTACTCACTTTGCAGCTTAAGATTTGCTGGGTTTAGATCCTTTAAGAGCTTTGGATCAACTTTGCAAGACCAACAGAGAAAATCTCTTTGTTGTGGTACATATCTAATTAAGATGTAGGAATCATTTGCTTCAAACCTGTTATCACTCTGAAGCCGTAATACAAATACTACTACAGTGCAATAGCGAAACAGGTAAATGAACATATATATCTTTCTCCTTTACCTCAGTATAAAATTGTATCAGCTAATACATTGCTATGAGGATAAGCTTTACTCAGCTGTGAACACTGCCACAGCAGTTAGGAGAAAATAATTCCTTTTTAATGAGTAAATTATTTGCTCACATTTAAGAAACAGAATACTAAATAGTTGTTTTCAGAGTTTTTAGTTATTGGCCAAGGAAGTGGTTCCACCTAGATACAGGTGACAAACATGTACATTTTAAAAATCTGGTGAAACATCCTTTGCTAACACTTCCTCTGGGCCAGCACAGCCATTTACAAGGCTGCACAGTGAATTCCTACTTTTTAAACATAACACAGATCTGTTGGGGAAGATCCCCGACAAGCGTTGGTCAAACTATCTTTGATCAACAGAACTAGTGGGGAAACAACTCATTCTCAAAGAGTCTCTTAACTTCTAACATTCCCAACAGGGTGTGCTAGTAAAAGACTAAGAATAAATGCCTGATACACCTTGAAACTACTGTAAAGTAGAACTAGATGATCTTTAAGGTCCCTTCCAACCCAAACCATACTATGATTCTATAGTTTCCACATCGTCTTTGTGCATTGGAGGTACTTTAGTATTGTTATATATCAGCTTACTTTTAAACCTGCAGCATAGCCCACAGGTTGGGGTGCGATGTTAGACTGTGCAGCCTCTCCAGTAACAACAGCCATTCCAAAGACTTCTTGAAAGGCATCTCGAATTGCTGCAACTTTTACCTCTTTATTAGAAGTAACCACTATGTCCAGTTCTCCCCCAGTTTCTGTAAAATACATATATATATATATGCATGTATTTTTTCTCATTCCTATTATAAGCTAGTTCAAATACACTCTACATCTTAAGACTATACTTCAGCTGGTCTTCTTTCTCATGCACTGTACATAAGTTCTTTCCTGAGCAGAAAAAATTAAAAAATACATGACTAGCCAAGTGATTCACAGATGACAGACAACAGGAACTGATGGTTATTCAGCACCTGAAAAAAAGCATACCACGCATTAAAGATGACAATTCATGGATTTAGGAGAACAAGAGAGACATCCATTTCTAAGGATGTTTTGGTGTTACCAAACCACTGGGAGGTGGCAAGGAATGTTGTTGTTACACACAAACTCTTCCCTATGAAAAAGACCAAGAATGCAGATGCAGTTCATAAATTCCAGTGACTAGCTGTCAAATTACATAAGCTATAAAACTACTTTCTAGTTGTTGTCGGACTGTGAATTTTATCAGTATCATTTTATTGCCTGCCTGCCTCCCTACAGCTTTATCTTGTTTTTAGATATTTTGTTATAAGTGTTTCTGACAGATTTCCACATGGCAATATCTCCATAAAGAAGGATGAGTTTTCACTAAGCTTTTTTAGAATAAAACAAAACAGTTCATGAATTAAAAGAAATCTAAAACTACTACAAAAGACTCAAGATGAGCTCAATTATACCTCACATCTGCCTTTACCACAGATGGATCATTTTCATTGTCAAACAATTTATGCAAAAACATTTCATAAAACTTGTCCCTGCTGTGACAAGTTTTCTTAACAGCTTAAACTTTTTTTCAAACATGGAATATGACATCAGTGAAAGCTGCATAAATAAAGTGGCATCAACAAGCGTAAAGGACAAATTAATGGACAACATGTCCACAAGCAGGCATTAAGAGTAATAGGTATGGACGTGCCTCTTGTCATCCTTAGTCCAATGGCTGTGGATGATGGAATACAAGGGGAAAGGCCTGCAGAAGTCACCATATCTACTGTCATTTACCATTCAGCATCTCCTGTTGCTTCTGCTGAAGACAGAATACTGAGCTAGATCAACCACTGGACTGGAGTATAAGGAAAGACTGACAGAGCCGGTAATGTTCATCCTGGAGAAGATAAGGCTCAGAGGGATCTTACTGATGTATACAAGTACCTGAAGGGAGGGGGCAAAGAGGAAAGAGCCAGGTTCTTTTAGTGGTGCCCAGTGACAGACCCAGAGGCAATGGGCACAAACCGAAACACAGGAGGTTCCATATGAACATCTGGAAAAACTTTTTTACTGTGAGGGTGACCGAGCACTGGCACAGGTTGCCCAGAGCAATGGTGGAGTCTCCATTCTTCGCAATATTCAAAAGCTGCCTTGACACAGTCACAGAATCACAGAATGGCAGGGGTTGGAAGGAACCTCTAAAGATCATCTAGTCCAACCCCCCCGCTAGAGCAGGATTACCTGGAGCAGGTTGCACAGGATTGCATCCAGGTGGGTTTTGAGTATCTCCACGGAAGGAGCCTCCACAACCTCTCTGGGCAGCCTGTTCCAGTGCTCAGTCACCCTCAAAGTGAAGAAGTTTTTCCTCATATTCAGATGGAACTTCCTGTGTTCCAGTTTATGCCCATTTTCCCTTGTCCTGTCACTGGGCACCATTGAGAAGAGTCTGGCCCCTTCCTCTTGACATCCACCCTTTAGATATTTTTAAGCATTGATAAGATCCTCTCTCAGTCTTCTCTTCTCCAGGCTAAACAGACCCAGCTCTCTCACCCTTTCCTCATATGAGATATGGTCCCCTTTCATTCCACATATAGTCCACTGAATTAGTACAATAGCGCAGCAATGTGGTTAGCTGGATCACAGACTAGATCCAACTGAATAAAGGCTCAGAAAAACAAAATGCAAAAACATTTTAATGGTTTCTTCTCAGCCTTATCAGTTTCCTGACCAGCCTCACCTACATGCAGACAAAGGGCACTACTGGGACAACTAAGAAGGGAGACTGCTTACCGACTGCTGGAAGAAAAAAAACACAAGCCCAAAACCAACCAAAAAACACCAAACAACAAGAAAAAAAACAAACCAAACCAAAATCCAAAACCTAACCACAACCCTGACAAATTATGTCATTTGTTTCCCCATTTTAATGAAGTAGTAATCTTAGGTCAGTTATGTGTGACATGCAATGTATTCTAGTAAAACAAAAAATGATGAATACCATAATGCTGTTCCTTCCTATTAATTTTCAAGCTGTAATTGAAATGTTATGCTTTTCATTCCATGCTCAATGCTCAGCAATACTTCAGACTTCATTAGACCATTTTAGAATTTAACATTCCTACTAACTGATTCAAGAACTGCTTCAAGTTTGCCGAATTTCCTAAAAATAGTATAAATACTATTAGGCTAGAAAAGCGAACAGATGAAAATCAGAAGAAAGCCTCAATAGCGATGTAAACACCTCTGTCCTATGTCTCTCTGAGTATGCTTACCTTTTGGCTTGTTTTAACTTTAATGTGATAGCTTACACAGTAGCATTTAAGCATGTGATCCAACAGAATACATACAGTGTATTTTAAAATCAACTCCATAAGGCTTAAATAGAGACACAGTGAGAGAAAACAGTATGCAACTTAAGGATTACAGATAAGGTCTCTTCACTGTTTTTTCTATGTAACTTTCTCATCTTTCACAATCTGAATTAAAGGATATTACTATGCTGCTATCTGAACTATAGCAGAATACAAAAGTCAAATAAACCTCAAGACACACATAAAAAGTCAGCCTCCAGAGTGAGAGTTTCACTGGACAATACACTTGAGAAATCAGTGCATTACTGTGACTTTGAATTAACGCACTACATGTACAAACCTCAAGTGCAGAGTGCTATTGTATTAACCTCTCTAACACTTACATGTATTACTTAATGGTTTGGCACAAATACTTACTGATATACGGAACCATGCCAGGATCCAGTGTTGTGATCATGGTCTCCACTGAATGTTTGGTTTTGTCAAGAACAGACTTCACCATGGGATTCTCAGCTACACCCTAAATTTAAGCAAATAGATTTCCATATTATCTTCTGTTTTTATCCCCAAAAACCTCAAAGTGTTACAGTTCAAAACCAACCAAAAAATGCCCAAATATGGTCTTTTTACCACATTTACACTTTGTAACTTATTGTATATCACTCCTCAGCACAAATGCTGCAAGCTGAAACTATCAGTGCATGACTTTTCAGTTACAACATAAAGTTCAAATATAGTCTTTACCATCCTCTTCTGCATTAATGCAGAAACAGCCCCATCAGTGATGGTGGGCAACATGCTTGATCTAGTCCTATTCTGGGACGAGAAGTCTTGAGCATTTAGCATAGTTGTAGATTCCCAATGCTCATTATAGGTATCATCAGACTAGGTAGCTAGATTTAAACTGCGATAACTTAAGCTGAAGAGCCTTCCTTTTCTGACCTTCTTAAAGACAATAGGACCTATTTTTGAATGGCCCATTACTAACAAGTACATTGAGCTGGAAGTCCTCAATTTATACACAGATGCTAAACATTGCTGGAAAAATGTTCTACATTCTCCAGCCAAATCATAGGTGGAGCTGCTGACAGACCTAAAAGTTCATTAAATATAAAGACAAACACTGTCCAGTGTCTTGCAAATAGTCTTAATGAATGTATCTCATCAAATGTTTATTTAAATTCAGGTAAGATCACAGGTTGAAAGAAGAAAGTTACCAATAGTGAATAATTGAGAGATAAATCACCGGAAACTACTTTGCAGAAACCTTTTATAAAATTTCTTTAGTGAACAGACTGCTTTCTGTCTAATATTAAAGCTGTCAGGTGCAATGACTGCAATAGTATCCAACCCTGCCTCTGATACGTTATGTAGAAACCAATCTTGGAACTCCTATGAGACTGCTTAGCCATCTTTGACATATCAAAGGAACCAAAACAGTCTCATTTGATTCTAGACCACTAATTTGTCAATTTTAGATTGTCAGATCTAGCTTGAAGAAAACCTGGAAGAAAGGTGTTTGATTTCCAAAGAACACCAGAGGAAAAAGGGTAGTTCAAACTACTTCAAGAACAGAAGTAAAGATAACTGGTTGCCACTACTGTGTAAGCTCTTCAACGGGGAATCCAGGATGCATTTCTGTAACAATTACTAGTTAGTCACACAGACTCTGGCTGATGTTTAAAAAAAAAACCAGACTGATGTGTGCTTCCACACATCAAAAACCTGATGATTTCAGTACAACTAATGATTCCTCATTCTTCCACCTAGGAAATTCTCAGAAGTCACTGAACACGCAGAGCACATAGAACGCTTCGTACTTCAACCAAAAACTAGATTTTATTATTGAAGTCAATGATACACATTCTCCAAAAAATAGAAACAGGACACATTTTGGATCTTACTGGTATACAAACAACAGTAATGTGGATTAGATTGGCTTTTCAACTAATTTGCAATTGCAAGCTCTGGTACTTTCAAAAGGGCTACACAATCACGTTCGAAGAAAAATGTTCTCTTCTGGAACATTACCATCTATCGCAAATATTAAGAGGAATATGATGACCGAAAGACATTATTACTTAAAGGAAGAAAGATGATGTGTTTTTATGATCATGAGAAGACACCTCTCCTTTACAAGGGCAGCATAACAACTCTGCTATCATTGTACTGATGGAGGATTAATCATGCTCTTTAGGACCATATCACTGTCATAATGTGTATTCCTGGATTAAGGGAGGGCTCGCTCTGTCATGTGTCACACAACCTATTTTCCCAGATTTTCTTGTTCAAAAGGCCTTGAAAGTCCCTCCAAAACTCTTCAATCCCATTTGGACATAAATCTTCTTGATTCTTCCTTCATGTTTAGTATGACACAGTACAGAAAATGGTGTTGCTCTTGAAGACAGTTCAGTGTTCACATACAGTCCTTAGATCTTTTTGCCACAATCTTAATGATGCTACTTATATGTAGCATTTGTCACAGCTCCAAAAAGGTTACAGGCTAATGAAATTCTACTAGTTGATGTTGCTGCTTATTTCCTCTGTATGATTAGATTGCACCACAAGGTGTATCTGTTCTGCACTATATACTCCATGCCTTCTAGCAAATAGAAAAATCCTACAAAATATCTTAGACACTTCTTAAGAAACTGTTCCTTGGTGGGATAAATATGTATTCGTCTCTCCTTGAAGAGACGTGTTTGTTTTAAAACAGGCAGGACTTGCATCCTATAGAAAGCAAATTCAGTCTGTTAGGAAGCGACAAAGAAACAGGATATGCAAAGAATTCTGGTGAGGTAAAAGAGACTATCTTTTTCTGCATCCAGTCGCTGTAAAATAAAAATTAGCTTTTGGGTCTTAAAGAGGTTCTGAAGCTTCATGTGATTTAAGAACATGTGACAAACCTATTAGGTACGTATATCTTCCTGTCACAAGCACTAAAATGAACACATAGAATACCTGCATTTATGTAGTCCTCATTCTTCTACATAAAGGAAGAGCAAAAGCATAGTTTCAGCAAATATCACTATTAAAAACAGCCACCTTGCACATGAGGACAGTAGTAACACGCAGTTAAAAATCTAATGTCTTATAGCCAGTAAAAAATGGTAATTCGTCGTAATATACAAAACCCCATACCTTTATAAACCCCCACAGTCCTCCAGCAGGTGTTCCACCTTGGGCAGTAGATACTCGGGGGTCTTCATGCTCCTCAGGAAAAGTAATTGCAGAACCAGTTCCAGGAGCCAAAGGTGATGAGAAAATTGCTTGTTGAGTAATAGGATCTGCCAAAACACCTAGTAAGACAGAAAAATAAGACTCAAGTGTTCATTTATTATACCGCATTTAATTTGTTATACTGTAGCAACATGCAATTGTTTAACAGGAAAATAAGCAGGAAGAACAGAATAATACTGGGCTGATTCACTTCATTTCTTGAAGGTCCCAGAACAATTATGCTTGTTAAAGGTTAGCAGATATAACTACTGTAAGTAAGTTCAACAATATCTGCTAATAGAACCAAGATTGCCTGTACATTATGTATAAGATTAAACAATTATTTTTTTTCTTAGCATGTCAGTTAACAGTCGTGCTTTTTATTGTCTTCAAATTTTCATGAGGTGGCCTCAGTAAAGCAAAAAGAGGAATGGGTGTTGCTCTCTGAACAAAGAGAGAGAAGTAAGAAATTTTCTAACCTGGAAACAAGAAAATAGAAGCTGCTGTCATGTGATGGATGGCTTCTTATAGACAGCTTTTCAGAACAAAAACCTGAAAATTATGAGATTACAGCCTGAGATATTGTATCATTCTGTGGAAATGTAACGGCTGAAATTGACTCTCTGATCTAAGCAACAGATATGTATACATGTTCAGCCAGGCTTTCCTGTGCAAGTTAACAAAAAATAATGCTCTCAAACATAGACTTTTCTGTGAGCCTGAGTGCTAGCAGAACTATACTAAAGAGGACTCTCTGTCCTAGACCATGACTGTACTTTAAAGGCTATTCTCCTTTCTCCTGAGTGAAGCTACATTAACTAAGCGTAACCGGAGTAATAAAGAAGCTGAACTTGCGGGACTCTAGCAGATACGTGAAGTAGCCACCCAGGTGATCCCTCATCCTGTCTCACAAACATGAAAGCATATATACAAAAAGTTACCTGTGACTGGAGGTGCAGAAAATGATGGCATCAGTGGGCTCTGTGGTGCTCGACCAGCATGTCCTCTGGTAATATCATAGGTTGAAGATATGGAAAATCCCGAAATGGGGGGACCAGTAGGAGGTGCAGGAAGACTAGAGCCAGTAGCAGAGCTTAATGGAGGAGGTGTAGAGAACTGGGACATGGAGGTACTAAAAGATGAAGAGGCAGCATGAGGTGGGGCAGGAGTTAGAGGTGGTGCAATAGTAGAAACCGTTGCAGAAGGCACAACTGGAAGAGAAGCTGAAGTCATTATAGGAGGAGGAAGCGAAGGCACTCCAGCTGGCACAGGTGGTGAGTATGCAGGAGAAGATGACATGCTTGGTGTAGCAAGGGGACTGGACAAAGCTAGGGAAAAAGAAGAAAAAAGAAATTTTGGAAATGCTGAGCCTTAATCTCAAAAATTCAGTTATATAATTGTTCAAATATTTTACAAATATGTTTTGACTTGGTCTGCTTTTTTTCCCTTCAAAGTGAATTTTAGTTCTGCTTGAGTTTGCATACAATACCAATTGTGCTCAATTTTTGGTGATAGTATCTTGTAATCTCTTTTTCTTGCATGATCCTATTTGTCATAAGCTTAAAAACATAACTCAACATTTGACTTATCTTGAATTTATAGCAGCTGAAGTCTGCCTCAGAAATTTCTAGCTAGTGCTGTTGTTTGAGTGACTGCTTAATCAACAGAAATAATGATGATGCAGGAAGTGTCCATCTTTAATCTTAAAACGTACACTCATAATATCTAGGAGGGTGGGAGTTACCTCAGAGGTATGGTTCTATGAGATGGGCTGAACATCAGGCAGCCCCCTCTTCCCTGGCACTCAGCCTCCTAATCCCTTTGCTTTCTCTGTTTCAGTCTGGCCCTCAGCTGATTTTTGGATAAGCCAATTTTGCTCTCTAAACCAAGTTTAAACAGAAAATTAAGTCAGAAAACCGGAAATTACCATTTTTGACAGCAGTAAGCTGTTGGATCAGCTCAAACGTCAAACTGGCCTCAGCCTAAATATCAATGACAGTCAAATGATATCCCAAGTTACACTAATGCAGTGGTCTCCAAATTTAATCATGCACACCTATCAATAAAAAAATTTTTGAGCATGCACCTCCCCAATATATGTAATTTTTTTATTTATAAATTATTTACATGTACCACTGTACTAGCATATTATGCATATTATAAAACATACACAATAGAAATTTTAAAAGGATGAGATAAAGATTAATTTAAAAATTTCAACTTTTCTGAT